ACCAAAAAAAGTCCAGGCCATAAAAGGAAACGTCGATATACTGGAATTTCTCCAAGTTAAAAACTTTTGCTCCCTGAAAGATCCTGGCAAGTGGATGAAAAGACGAGATATGGGCTTGGGAAAAACATGTCTGCGACCGTACTGTGTGACAAGGTTCAGGAGTCTGAGTGTAGACGGGACTCTCGATTCTCAAGTTAAAAAAAGCAACAAACAAGCCATAGAGAAAACGGATCAAAGACTTGGACATCCGACCAAAGACACCGAGATGGCAAATGACAATATGAGATTAGATATGAGATTAGTCCACATCATTATAGAATTGTAGATTAAAAACAACAAGGCATACGAGATGGGGAGCTGACCCAAAGGGCTGGGGTACAGGTTTTGTTCCCATCCAGGAACCCCAGGTTCCTGGCAAAGTCCAGTGTGGCGCTCCCACCACTGCCAGTCCCCCCCAAAAATAATAGGTGAATCATTAATCAAATGAATCGTGGCAAAGGGAGTAATATATGCCTGGATGAATTTCAGAGAACGAGACAGAATGAAAAAAAAATTTTTTTAAAAAGATATTAATCTCCCTAAGTCATAGATTGTAAGGACCCATTTATAGAACATTCTTGCAAAGAAACAATGATTGAAAGGGAGACCAGATCAATGGACGTCACGAGTCCGGGATAAAGTGGGAACCATGGATGTGACTCAAAGGGCAGTGTGAAGGAGCGTGTGGTGACGCAGATGTCCTGGCTCTTGACTGTATCACTGTCAATGTCCGAGTGTGGTTTCCAAGGGTAATTCTGCAAGCCACGATCCTGGGATAAACCAGGGCCTGGGCATCCAAGAGCTTCTCTTCCTGGGGCCTGAGCAGTAGTATAGCAGGTGACCCGGGCCAAGCCCCAGGACCCCATGGGATCCCGAGTCCACCAGGAGGGATCCCTAAGCAATGCTGAGTATGGGAAGGAAAGGAAGAAAGTAGGCTGATGGAGAATTTCCACTGCGTAAACCACGTTTCTCTTGGGGCTGGAGACAGTACAGTGGGCGAGGCATGCGGCCGACCCAGGTTCCATCCCTGCATCCCACAGGGCACCCCGGGCATCACCAGGAGTGATTCCTGAGTGCAGAGCCAAGGAGTAACCTTTGAGCATCACTGGGTGTGGTCCCCCAAACAAAAAAAAATAAATAAAATAAGCCAGCATTTATCAACCCAGGCCACATGGTCCTCTGTGGGCCCAAAGACATTCCAAGGACCCGCTGGTAAAAGGCCCAGTAGATGGGAGCGAGGGCATAAGGCCAGGAGGCCAGTCAGTAGGACAGGGCACCACGGGAAGGAATCACAGTCGAGAAAGGCTGAGAAACACCATTACTATAAAGGTGCTTCACGCTTCAGGACTGAACGGAAAGGGTGAGCCTCACAAAGCCACCAGAGAGCCAGCAGCAGAGAAAAACAGCCATCTAGACGGAATCTTTAAAGACAAAATGGAGGCCTTCTGTTTTTATTTTTGTGTTTGTGTTTCTGGTGCTGGCAAGGCAAGGGCTCCACCACCGAGCCACATCCCCAGGCCAAGAAGGTGTTTTAAACATGAACGATCCACTGTGACCAAGTCACGGAAGACACGAAACGAATGGAAAACAGCCCTGAGGTTAGTGTCACTGGGATTCTTTGGAAGACAGACAGCTTTGGTGAAAGACACAAAGAACGCACAAACTACTTTTTTTTTTTTTTAAAGTCTCCATCCTGAAGAAATGGAGAAAGCACGGAGAGAAGGAAGGGGTGTGATGAGCAGCGGGCGAGTCCTGGGCAAAGTAAGCATGCTGATTTTCCACGCGGGGGGAAGAGATTCTAAAAAGGTTGACGACACAAGGTAGACAGGGGTGGAAGGACCTGGAGTGGTGGGAGAGGCTGAGTTCCAGAGCACAGAAGGCAGAGCTCAGGCAGAAAAGGCACTTCACCCGCTGTGAAAAAAAGAAGAGCATGGGACGGGAGCTGACTCGAAGGGAACACTGGGAATTCCGTCTCGCGTAAAGACGGCCACTCCCTGACGCCTTGGACAAGGGCATCAGCTGGGACTGGAAAACTAGCTTAATTTTCATTCCCAGCCTCCACCTCAGTACCCCCAAAACAAAATAAGGAACAAACACATGTATTTAACAAATAAAAACAATCTGTTTCCTTCACGCAGGTTTTTCATGAGATGCAATACGCGGCTTCCTCCAAATCTGCCACTGGGGGGCAGTGTTGCACTCAAGCTTGCCCCTCAATCTCTGAATTTGTGGAATTAAAAGAAAATTACAAAGCGATGCTTGTCATACACATGTTTTCCTCCAAGAAAATCGACTACAGCTTTATATACATACACATACACAAGTGCATACATGTGCACACACTCCGCAGCACACACACAGACGTGCTGGGGTGGGGTGGAAGACTTGTGCTAAGCTCCCAGCTGAAACCCTCCTGACGCCCCCGAGGTAAGACCATTTCCAGAGGCCACTTCCTGCATTTCCTCCAGGGTACACAGGAAACACTTAATAGACCTTTCCACTTTATGATTAATGAATTAGAAAAGACTGATGAAAAGGCCTCCCGAAAAAGAAGCCCTGATCAACATTTTCCACCACTTCTTTTGAACTTGTGTTCTTCCTCCTACACTTCCCTCTCTCCCCAAATTAGAGGGAGGCTTTAAAAAACAAATTTTCAATACCGATAATCTATTCCACCAGCCCACCAGCGGCCTGCCCCCGGCCTCAGGTGCCTGACACCCACAGGGTGGAGATTCATCCATCGCTAACACCACATGGCCAATTCCACTAGCAGAGCGAGCCATGATTTGGGGTGTGTGTAGCCACGCGACTGGGCTGGGCGATCCTTCTTTCAGGTGAACAGAGGGAACGGGCGGATTTAAAGCCGGCTGCAGGAATTCCTACTCCCTGCAAAGAAATGAAGATGCAAGGGCAGACAATTCCCCAGAAGCTGAAAGGCACAAGGATTCCCAGGGCACAGGGTTTCCGGTTGGCGGTGGTTCCCAGTCCTGCCAACGGAACCAGCCCCGGGAAAGCTCCAGAGAAGCTCTGGCTCTGTCTGAGAATACACCTGCAGCGTGTGAGCTGCAGGGTTGTGGGAAGGCGCTGGGGACACTGGGGTCAAGCAATGCCGGTGGACAGTTGAAGAAAGGTGCCTTGCCCGACACAAACCAGATTGTTTAGAGCTGAGATGTTGTTGGGGTTTAAGAAAAAAAAAACACTCAAGAAATGGGTCATAAAGAGAGTATGGGAGAGGAGGTTAAAGCAGCTGCAGTCGAAACCAGATACAGTATCGAATTGTTTATAATCTGTTTCCAAAAATCCAGTTCAGAGGTTTAGTGTTCTAATTTGACAATTAAGGGTCACTTTCTCCGGTTGGTGAAGGGTTGTTTTTGTTCTATTAACAAAAGCACTCACAAGCTTCTTGCTGTTCCTTAACCCCAAATTCACCTTTCATACTGAACTGCCAAGACCCCAGAAGAACACAGAAGCTTCTCTCACAGTAATTAAAACTCTTCGGGGCCCAGAGAGATAACACAGCTGGTGAGGCATTTACCTTGCATGAGGCTGACCCCAGTTGGACCCTGGCATCCCTAAGGCCCCAGGAGCACTGCCACGGAGTGATCCCCGAGTGCAGAGCCAGGAGTAGCCCTGGGCATGTTTGGACGACCCTGGGCCAAATGCCAAAATCAAACCAAACAAACAAACAAAAAAATCTCTTTCGGTTTCACACCATTCCTGAGAATGAGCTTCGAAGCTGAGATGAACACTCCTCGACTTTAAACCGATGTCCATTTCAAAAGTCCTGTGCTAATTCTTGAATTTCCACCCCCCCCCCCAATAGACAAAGGATCTCAGAGCTAGATTTCATGCATCCTGCCCACTCCACCCTCCCAACACACCACACACACACACACACACACACACACACACTCTTGCACTCCACAACACTTCCTTTGAAAAACAGAATGTCACTTCCTCAATCCAGAGGCCTGAAGCCCCTCGGTTCTGATGCGGAGGCAAGACAGGAAACGGGCGAGCGTCTGCCTGTCCCCATGGACAGCGGGCAGCTGACCCAGGGCAGGTCCAGCCGAGCCCCTGGAGGCGCTGCAGCTGCAAGGCATCACTGCTCCCTTCCCGGGGAGGGCGTCGGATCCCCAAGGGCATTCTGGAGGGTTGGGGAGCCAGGGAAGGAAGAGGCGAGCATGCCTGGGAGGCTGACCCCGGCCGGCCGGCCAGCCGGCCAGCCGTGTCCACTGGCTTCCCAGCCCGAACTCCTGCCACGACCCGGGTCGATCCCAGCAAATCTCAGGACCGGGCACCATCTTGCACTCAGACCGCACCAGGCCGGGCGTCTTTGTGTGCCCGAGTGCCTGCGGGGCGTGCATGTGCGTGTCGGGTGCGTGTGGACGGGTCCGAGTGTGCGTGCACACCGCGCGTGCATGTGCGCGGGGGGTGGGGGGGGCGCGAGTGTGTGCGCACACATGTGCGCGCGCGAAGGGGAGCGCGTGTGCGCGTGCGGGACACGCGGACTCGGGAGAGGGACAAACAAATGAGTCACCTGGCCCGGCGCTGCACATGCCGCGGACGCTGACGCTGCCCGGGATGCGGGGCCGGCGCTGGGCGCTGCGAGGAAGCGGCGGCGGGCGCAGGGCCCGCAGCGGGGCGCGGCGCCTCGCCCTTCGAGGGGGTCCCGGCGCCCGGCCCGGACGCGGCCTCCCGCGCTGCCCCCGCCCGCACGCAGCTCCCGGGGCGCCGGCGGGAGGCGCCGCGGCCCCGCCCCTCGGCGGCGCACCTGTGACAGGTGCGCAGGGGCCGCCCCGTCCCGCCCGCCCCGCGGCCCGCGCCGGCCGCCGCTCGGCCCCGCGCCCCGCCGGCCTGCCCGGGTGGCCGAGGTCCCTCCGGGGGCGCCCGGGGTCCGGCAGGCCTCGGGCCGGGGAGCCCGGCCGCGCCCGCCGCGCCCTCCCGCCGCCCGCACTCACGTAGCGCCGCAACTTCTTCTCGGGGGGCGATTTCCGCAGCCACCCGGTGCACACCACGTCCCCGCCGCCGCTCATGCTGCCGGCGCTGCAGCCCGCCGCGGGGTCGGCCGGACGGGCGGGCGCGGGCCGCTGGGTCAGCCGCCGGGCGGCGCGCGGCGCGCGGGGAGGGGCGGGGCCGGGCGAGGGGCGGGGCCGGGCGAGGGGCGGGGCCGGCGGGCACCGGGACCGCGGGGAGGGAGGGGCGGGGCCGACGGGCCGCGGGGAGCTCGGGGGGAGAGGCGGGGCGGCCGGCGGGGGTCCGGGCGAGCGGGGGGCGGGGCCCAGCGGCGAGGGGCGGGGCTTAGCGCTGGGGCGGGGCCTGCGGGCGAGGAGCGGGGCGGGGCCGGGCGAGGGGCGGGGCCGGCGAGCCCCGGGACCGCGGGGAGGGGGGGCGGGGCCGGGCAAGGGGCGGGGCCGACGGGCCGCAGGGAGCTGGGGGGAGAGGCGGGGCGGCCGGCAGGGGTCCGGGCGAGCGGGGGAGGGGAGCGCGGGGGGCGGGGCCCAGCGGCGGGGGCGGGGCTTAGCGCTGGGGGCGGGGCCTGCAGGCGAGGAGCGGGGCGGGGCCGGGCGAGGGGCGGGGCCGGGCGAGGGGCGGGGCCGGGCGAGGGGCGGGGCCGGCGGGCACCGGGACCGCGGGGAGGGAGGGGCGGGGCCGGGCAAGGGGCGGGGCCGACGGGCCGCGGGGAGCTCGGGGGGAGAGGCGGGGCGGCCGGCGGGGGTCCGGGCGAGCGGGGGAGGGGAGCGCGGGGGGGCGGGGCCCAGCGGCGGGGGCGGGGCTTAGCGCTGGGGGCGGGGCCTGCGGGCAAGGAGCGGGGCGGGGCCGGGCGAGGGGCGGGGCCGGCGAGCCCCGGGACCGCGGGGAGGGAGGGAGGGGCGGGGCCGGGCAAGGGGCAGGGCCGACCGGCCGCGGGGAGCTCGCAGGGAGGGGCGGGGCGGCCGGCGGGGGTCCCGGCGAGCGGGGGCGGGGCCCAGCGGCGAGGGGCGGGGCTTGGCGCTGGGGGCGGGGCCTGCCGGCGAGGGGCGGGGCGGGGCCAGGAAGAGAGCCGGGGGTCGGTCGTGAGGGCGGGGCAGAGCGGGAGGCGGCCGGGGGCGCGCGGACGGACGGCCGCGGGGCTCGGACCCGGCTGCCACGCGTGCACGCGCGCCCTCCCCGCCGGGCCTCCTGGGGGCGCCACTCCCACCCGCCCCGAACCGCCGCCGCCGCCGCGCCGCCGGCGATGGGGGCGGGGAAGGGGCGGCCGCGCCCCGCCCTGGTCGCTGCTGACCCGGGGTCCGCGGGAACGGGTCGGCGCGCCCCGGACCCTCGCGGTCCTCGCTTTCGCTTCCTCCCCGCCGCTGTCCACTAGAGCCACTCTCTCCGCTGGGGCCGGGTGGGACGGGCCGGTCCGCACCGCCGTGAGACAGGGGCGTTGCCTTCCACCGCGGGGACGCGCGGGGACCTCTTGTGACCCATCAATCAAGCCACGTTTTGCATCTGGGGCGCAGGGATAGAAATTCGCCAGACGAGTCACAATGTTCGCAGAATCAACCGTGCAAAACTGAGTCCTTGAGTCCTGCAGTGAGCTGCAGCTCCAGGATTGTGCCGAGGGGGAAAATAAGTCCCATTCCGAGATGTGGGTTTCAGACTTTCCTGGGGCGTGTGAAAATTGAAAAGCAATGAGAGATGCCACCCTCTGGGGTGACGCTGAAGGTGATCCAGAGCACACGCACGTGACAGTGGCACCTCTACCCCTGGGGGAACGCTGGAGCACCCCTTGGCAGGAGTCTTTTCCAGTTCCAGCAGGGTAATGACTTTTTGGTTTTGGGGGGGGGGGGGGGTTGGGTATAGCCCAGCGGGTAGGGCGTTTGCCTTGCATGCAGCCGATCTGGCTGACCCGGGTTCAATTCTTCTGCCCCTCTTGGAGAGCCTGGCAAGCTACCGAGAGTATCTCGCCCGCACGGCAAAGCCTGGCAAGCTGCCCTTGGCATATTCGATATGCCAAACACAGTGACAACAAGTTTCACCATGGAGACGTTACTGGGCCCACTCGAGCAAATGGATGAACAACGGGAGAACAGTGCTACAGTGCTACCAGTGCTTGGGTACCACAGCCCGCAGCACCCAGGCCTCACTCCTGGCCTGCACTCAGGGATCACCCCTGCTAGGCCTGGGGGAAACCGTGCAGGGCCTCAAGCATTGAACCTCAGTGGACCTCCATGCAAGGCAAGTGCCCTACCCACTGCACTATTGCTCCAACCCCATGACTTTTATTTTTCCCTCTAGCTTCAAGAATCTAAAGAATCCTGGGAGGCAGATAGCAAAATGCTCAGTGGTGGTGACCCCCGAACAAACACACACAACAGAAAGCAACTCCAACTTCGTCTGCATCTGAGTCATGGCTGAGTCTGGGGACACCAGCAGGATTGGTCTGAGCCGGGCTGGCAGGCTTGCATGCCAGTGAGCAAGCCCCGTCCCTCCTAGAATATTCTTTCATTCCTCACGCTTGGATGGGCCTGTTTCTAGAGATAGACTAAGTGGGCAAGGGGCTGCATTCTGCCAGAAACGCTTTAGGGTCTTGTTTTGCAAGCGACCCCTGTTCAGCCTGTACTATGACTCACAGTGTTGGTGGGAAAGCTTTGAAGTTCTGTGTCAAACGGCAGCGAACACTCTGAAATACAAGTTATGGGGGGTATTAAGGGGCTTTCCTCTGATCACCCCCCTCTTTTGTGGAGGGAGGTTGGAGAAAGGCCTCTCTTGGGGTTCTCCACCCAGCTCGCCTGCACCCTGCGGAGGCAGGACCGCGCTGAGGACACGATTGGGGACCCTGGCAGCCCCGGGCAGCTTCTCAGGGTGGGAACAGCCCCAGCCTTGCAGCCTGGGCCTTTGCCTAGCCCTGCAGACAAGAAAACAAATGTTTGGAGCGATCTGCATGCAGAGAGGCGCCACCTATCGGAGTGGCTGGGGGTGACAGACCCCCGCCACCCTTCCCCAGTGAGGTCACTGGCCCCTAAGGAGTCGCTGCAAGGGGCGTTCAGGACCATCGATTCCATCCTCTCTGAGTCCGCAGGAAGTGACCGCCCGCGGGAGCGCTCCCAGGAGAGGTTTGGACCAGAGAGGCCTGGGAGGGAGACCTGGGCGCACGGATGCTGGAGCCTGTCCAGGAACCAGCGGCCAGGGCCACAGCGGGCAGCGCTGACCAAGCCACCCTGGCCGGCCCCCTAGGCATGGGGGTTCTGTGTTCTCCTCCCTCAGTCCTTTCTCCTTCAGTTCATCTCAGAGCTCAGAGCAGTTCGACCAGATGGTTGCAGCTGGCTGGTCGCCTCTGCTTTGGACTGTCTGGGATTTGATTCTCACGCCTCTTTCCCCCAAAGTTAACTACTCGGTTGCTTTCACCCAATTATTATTATTATTATTATTATCATTTTGCTTTTTGGGGGGGGGGTCACACCCGACGATGTGTAGGGATTACTCCTGGTTCATGCACTCTGGAATTACGCCTGGAGGTGCTCAGGGAACCATATGGGATGCTGGGAATCGAATCCAGGTCGCCTGTGTGCAAGGCAAACGCCCTACCCACTGTGCTATTGCTCCAGCCCCCAGCACCCAATTATTCTTACTGAAAATTAGTATCGGGTTCGAACTGAGGTTTGGAAGTGATTTAGGGGTGTGTTTGTCGACCCAGTTGTGCTATAAATCTGTTACTTGCCACTACATCCAGTGGGAAATAATTTTTGGGAGGTAGGGAGGATCTTTCTTTAGAAATTTAAACAAGACAAGACAGGTAGTACAGGGGTTAAGGTGTTAGCCCTGGCAGGTTTGATCCCTTGAGCCCCCACCATGAGTGAACCATGAGCACAGAGCCAGGAGTAAGCCCTGAGCACTGCTGGGTACAGTGCAAAAACAAACATTGGAATGAGTCTGGTTTCCCAAATTTCCCTTTGTAAATAACCAGCACCTGAACTCGTTGCTTTTTGGGTCACACCCGTCGCTGCAAAGGGGTTATTCATGGCTCATGCACTCAGGAATTACTCATGGTGGTACTCAGGGGACCATATTGGGATGCTGGGAATGGAACCCTGGTCGGTCGCGTGCAAGGCAAAGGCCCTAACCCGCTGTGCTATTGTGCTATTGCTCCAGCCCCTGAACTCCTTGCTTTGGGGTAATTAAGCTCCTGAGCCATATTGCAGGTGGAGGTGGAAATGTCATGTGCTCAGAGACATGCTATGACACTATTATTATGTTCTCCTGAAAAAGAAAATAACTGGGAATGTGCCTTAGCATGCCAGAGCATTCCCTGCATGCTGGCTGCTTGCTTCCTCCATGGAGAGAATTCCACCTTTGAATAGTGCCTTCATCATATCTCAAGAAACCCTTGCCCTAAACTCACCTTCCTCAATCCTAGCACCTACTCTCTGCCACCCTTGGGTTTTTTTTTCCTGTGCCTATAAAAATATTGGCTTATCAAACGGTCCTAAAATAAAAGGCTAATCTAATTAACAGAGAACTCAGAGTTCTTTGAAGTCAAGGCAACGCAAAGGAAAGGACATTTATATTTTCAATTCTCCTGGCCTCCTGATGTGGTTTGTCGTGAGAATGCAGGAACAAAGACTTCAAGGATGACAGACAAGTAGCAACTCCAGACCTTACGTTCCGAATTCTTGATTCCCTCTGCAACAGAGGTAGTAACTCTGAAGGTGGCTTAGAAAGGGTTGGAGGGTCTAAATCCACGGGGACTGGCCAAGTAGCACAGGCTGGGAAGCTGGAGGCCAGGTATGAAGCTCCACTTTTATAGGTGGCTGTGGTTGGAGAGATAGTACGGTGGTAAGGAACTTGATAGCATGAGCATGACCCATGTTCGGTCCCTGGCTCCTCATATGGTCCCCTGAGCCTTGCCAGGAGTGATCCTTGAGCACAGAGCCAGGGGTAAGCCCTGAGTCCCACCACCCAAAACATATACCCCCCCTCCGCGAAATGATAAAGTTATATGACCAGAAAGATAGTATAGTGTGTAGGGAATTTGCCTTGCATGTGACCTAGCTGGGTTGAGCCCCAGTACCTTATAAGGTCCCCTGAGCACTGCCAGGGGGTGATCCCTGGCCCCAGAGCCAGGAGTAAGCCCTGAGCACTGCTAGGTTT